TTGATTGGCAGGCACTTTGGCTTCAGCGGCAAATGGTGCTCTACAATATCTGTATCTAGACCAGGCATATCTTGGTAAGACCAAGCAAAAATATCCACATACTCTTTCAACATCTTAATCAACCTTCTCTTCACATCAGGATGTAACAATGCTCTGATCTTGACTTCCTTCAGATCTTCTTCTTAACCCAATTTGATTACTTCCAATGGCTCTTTATATGGCTGAATGGCATTCTCCTCACGCTTAAGAAACCGTGAGACCTCTTCTATAATCTCATCATAGTCTTCTTCTTTGGCCCCATACACAGGACATTCAAAGTTGGGAGAGGGTGCAGGGTCATTGTATTCAACGGGTTTTTTAATTAATCTGCACATATAATTTATGATTGCTTTTAGAAACTGACACATATAACAAGTGATCAAGCAGATTGAATTTTTAAGTTATTATTTATTTTGAAAGGTTTTTTCTGATTACCATTTTCCAAGAAAAAGCAAAAAATAAAGACACAATTTGGGAAACAAAGACAAATTTTATTATTGATTTTAAAAACCAAAGCAAACAGATAAGCCCATACAATATCAATACTTTCACCTTGGGCAGAGTGAAAGTTTTTCAAAAATATTAACAAAAAACAAATTACTTTGAAACATGTATGCAAGACGGAATATCAATGGTGATCCAGTTCTGAACCCTAACTACATGCGTCACATAATTTGGCATGTTTTGCTCTGTTTCATCTTCCATAATGGCATTAATCCTGGAAACAGTTGGATGAAGGTAACCCCCGTTACGAAAGATGTCTTGATACTTTCCTGCAGGAACTTCGGCTTCATGCTCTTACCTTTATCATTCTTCACAGAGAACCCCAAGCCAACTCTATTCTTGTTTACAGGTGGATCAACAATCTGTCCCCATACTTCACTATTGCCATTACGCACAACCTGTTGAGCATCCTGAAACGAAGCCATAAAATTCTTATTTTCTCTTATATTAACAATGGATAAAGCTTAGAACTGGGTTCCAACAGCAGCTTCATCCGCCTCCACAATGCTAAAAGAGGACAAATGAGATATCAATAATGCATGTTCTCCATTTATAATTACCACTTTTCCTTCACGCACAAACTTCAACTTCTGGTGTAAAGTCGAAGTGATAGCCCCTGCCTCATGTATCCACGACCGTCCAAACAAACAACTGTAAGCAGGTATAATATCCATGACCTGGAAAGTAATCTGAAACAAATGTGGGCCTATATGAATAGGCAAGTCCACTTCACCAATAACAGATTTCCTTGATCCATCAAACCCTTTCAAAATAATGCCACTTGGGCGCATGGGCGTTCCTTGATATTTCAACTTCATAAGTGTGCTCCTTGGTATAATGTTCAACGCGGATCCATTATCAATCAACATATTGGATAATGAATCATTCTTGCAGTTCATAGAGATGTGGAGGGCCAAATTATGATTCCTTCCTTCATCGGGAAGTTCATCTTTGCAGAAACTCAGGTTATTACATGATGTAATGATCCCTAACACACTTCTGAATTGGTCTACAGGCATATCACTTTCCACGAAAGCTTGGTGCAATACCCTCCTCAAAGATTTACTGTGAGCATCAAAGTTTATCAATAATGCCAAGATAGATATTTTTGAAGGAGTCTGCAGTAGCTGATCTACAATTCTGTAGTCGCTCATCTTTATTATCTTTAAAATATCATCTACCTCCTTTTCTAGCGTAGCTCCACTAGATTCACCCGCTGCCTTCTTGGGTTCAACATCCTCAACAATTTTCTTTCCAGTATCTCCATGAATAATTGGTGCAAATATACGACCACTGCGGGTCACTCTACTAGTCTCAGCAATATTTCCAACATTAGGCATTGGCTGGATGGGAAATTCCAGACCATCCTCTAAGATTGTAGCATTATATTTGTAGGGTACAACCTTGTCTGACTTGTAGGGGACAGGACCCGACAAACTAGTCACCAATGGAGAAATATCTGGCTTGCCATGATATTCAACTTCAAAATGGTTAGGTGCACCAAAACAAGGCACAATAACATTTACTCCCTCTTCAACACATTCAGTCATCACTGAGTCATCTCTAGAAAACATATCTTCATCTGAGGAGAAGAACTCATCCATAGAGGCATACTCATCATCTGACTCTTCTTCAGCCAAACAAACCTCGATCACATCAACGTCATGGTAATCATCCCTTAGGCCTATAACCTTGATAGTTCAATTATCCAATAACAACTGAACACCTTTCCTTACAATTGAACATCCTCGGTAGTCTAGGCAGCAAATTCGGCAAGATCCATACTGATGTTCTACCTGGCCAGCCATGTGGCAGAAAGTAGCATGCAATTGTACAAGATCCTCAATCATATATTCCATATCAAAGATTATGAACTCTCCAGGACATCCATAAACCATGTTTACTTCCTCTTCATACTCTTCCCTAGGCCTGATTATGTGGATGAGGCCCTCATCCATCATCTCCTGCAAATCAGCCTTTATCTTGTCACAACCCTGTATACCCATACTGCAAACAGCACAACCGACATGGTCATGCGTATAGTAGCTAAATTCACAGAGATCTGCATGCATTTTTACCAAATCTCCTTTAACCAATTTAATATCAAAAATCCGGAAGTCTCCTGGACAACCGGCTACCATGTTTATAGCATTTGCTCCTCCATGCTTTGGCAAAGGATTATCTTTCACATTAGGGCCAACATCCTTGACGAATAAGATACCAGACTTCACCAATTTTTGTACTTCAGTTTTCAAAGGATAGCAGTTCTCAACATTGTGCCCCGGTGCTCCCTGATGAAAATCACATGTTTGGTCTGCCTTGTAATACCAAGGCAATGGTTATGGTATAGCAGGGGGTGGTCTGGTATGAACCAACCTATTTTGAATTAACACCGGGAGTAATTATGTATAGCTCATAGGGATAGGGTCCTAACTCTCCCTTCTCTGATTATACCCTTGATTCCCCTGATGGGATGGTCTCTGATAAGCAACAGTGGTTGGAGCTACACCAACAACTGGATTAATTGATGCAACTTGTTGATGACGCTGATAATTTCTTCTAGGAGGATTAACCCTCCTCTCTTGCATAATAGCATTTGTATCTCCTTACTTATTTTTGGCAAACCCATAGGATGGCTTCTTCGTACTTCTGGAACTTTCAGTTTTAGTTAGACTGCCCTCTCTTACAGCCTCTTCTAAATGGACACCCATGCCCACCATTTCAGTAATGTCACTTGGCGCACTCGCTACCATCCTCTCATAGTAGAAAGCACCCAGAGTCTTCAGGAAAATCTTAGTCATCTCCTTTTCTTCCATGGTGAAACAACCGGCTGAAAATCATCAAACAATGAAGTCGCCATCGAACATTTTTTATCCCACAGGAAGGGAAAGGTAAACATCGAGAAAACCTGAGAAGGGAGAAGTCACAGTCTTGCGACCGAGAGATAAGGGTAAGGGAGTCTGTTACGCGAGGGGAAGGGATTAGCACCCCATACGCCCGTAGTACTCTATGGTATCCACTCTTGTTATCTATCTTATGGGTGTGTTTAATCCTCTTATTGTTTATTACTGCTAAAGGGAGAATGCATGCAAAAGAAAGGGGAAAATAATGTAGGGAAAATAAAAGTTGTGCTCGTTCGGGCCCTACCCTGATGCCTACGTATCCCTTTTAAGGAATCAGAGCAGCCGTAGTTCGGCTCACATGTTTTTGTTGGTTTGTATTTTTTTTAATGAACAATATTAATTTCGCCTTCTGCTGCAACTCGACCTTTGAAGACTTATGCATTAGCACAGAAGTGAATTAACATGCTCTTTTGAAAAAGTTTTGGAGAAAAAGGCCCGAAGGCAAGAAGAGTTTTGCGTTTGTTGGTGTTTTTACTTGTAGATAACGGCTAGTTGATCTCAAGAGAGAGATATTAACCATTTCTCTACTTGTTTATGAAATGAGTCTTTGAGAGTTGAACCATGCCAAGGCTTAAAATGGAAAAACAATAAGATCGAGAAGAGACCCGCTTATCATCTCCCATGTTCAATAAAGGCACGATTCTCATCAGTAATTTTTAAGTGCTTTTGACGTTTGTAAGGAAAACAAGTTTTTGTTTTAGTGCAAATGCAAAAGGGGAAAGAAAAGCCAAGGGGAGACTAGTCTATTTCTAAACTAAATGTTATTATACTTCACATGATCTCTAGGAAGCGATAAATGCGGAGATGAGGAGTAAAATAGGGTTTTGACGATACCAAACGGAGAAGGTCCGTTGCCTCTTTGAAATCATGCAAGCAATAAGGAAACTCTACCAAACGCTGCTCTGCGCGAGTGATCAAATAATTAATCTCCCAACATTCCACATTTCAAAAATTACATCAATCGTTTTATCACAAAATCTTAGCTAAAAAGTGACAATGAAAATGATTATTAAACACAACATAATAGAAAACTTTAATAAAATTCTAAGGAGAAAAACTAAAATTGTAAAATATTTTCTAGGATTTTTCACATAAGAAATATAAAAAGAAACCGAATTCTATTCTAATATATTCCTAATTAGCAATTTTTATTATCTCCTAAAATTCACTAGTTCTAAAAAAAGGATAAAAGGGCTTAAAGAATTAACTAAAGACTATTAACAGGGGGTGTGAAGCTGGATTAAATAGTATGTTGTAGGTAAGTGAATTCTTAGCCCAATAGAAATGAATCTAATAAGCATTTTTTGTGCATGATCAAGGGCTACCAAAAAAACGTGATGATGGGCCTGAGAATGAGAAATTTTCGGTCCATGCTTTGTTCTATTTATTCAATTAAGTTTTATTGTTGTGTTTAAAAGAATAAAAAAAAGAAATTAAAACAAATAAAATTAAAAAAAAACGCGCAAATTGAAAGAGGATTAGGGTTAGAAAATTGGGACGACTGAGCTTCTTCTCCCTTCTTCTTCGTGGCGCCGTTTCCTCTACAGAACTTCAATGTTTGAGAATCAACGTTCCCTCCACCTCCGTGGAGTTCAATTGATCCCCGATTCATTCCGCTCTCGCATCGCTCTTCTCGATTCATTTGCCTCTTCTCTGAGCAACATAAGCATAGCACCTCCGTGGTTCGCCTCGATCCGTTGCCGTGATACACACGGTCACCTCCGCCAGTCTTAGACCCCTGTCTCGCCCTACAGGAGACGAGTCCGAAGCTTCTTTGAGGATAACTCTGTCGTCGAGCAATCTAAAGAAAGCTTTGCAATTAGAAACAATGTATGCATCAATTTGCCGTAAATTCTGTTTCTCTTTCTCTTCAGTGCTCTTCTTATGATTTACTTTCTACCGTTGAATGAATCATTGAAGGCGAATTTGTATTGATCGATGTTGCAGGTTGTGATGCCGATGCCGTGTTGAAATTATTGAAGTGGTGTTGTTGAATTCACTGCAGAACTGTGTGATGTTTGCTATACGTGTTGTGATTCTTGCGGATTGTTGAAGGTTGTTGAATGAAGAAAATGAAGACGCTGTAAGCTGCAGAGATCCTGCTGAATCGTGGTTGCAGAGAGAGAAGAATGCGGGAGATGTTCAAGGTTTTCTGGTGATTCTCCAAGATTCAAGAATGATGACGATAAATATTTAAAGAAGAGATAAATAGAGTTGGTGCTGATAGAGTTTGAAGAAGAGGAAGACTAGGTGTACCAGATGAGAGAAATTTGGAGCGTGATTCTTTAACAACGACGACGAGAAAACCAGAGAACTGCAACTCAGGTATGCACGCTCCTTCGTACGATTCTAAAAATTTGTTATTCTTTTTTATTACATGTTCCTGCACTTTCTGCGTTTCTGTGTAGTTGATGCGGTTATGCCTGATGATGGTGCACTGTGAAGAGAGTGAAGCAAGTTGATGAAGGTTGAAATGGAGATGATGCAGAAGTGTTGATGTGATGTAGAATCTATGAAGCAAGGGATCTCTCGAGGAGCCGATGACGATGATGGTGATGTGAAAAATATCCACCGAGTCGGTTGAAGATAGGAAGGTATCAAGTTCGTTCTGTCAATTTTATGTGTTTTCTTCTTCTCCTCTTTGTGCCTTTGATTTATTGCCATGTAATTACAGAAAGTGTGGGGAAAATGAGATGATGAAGCTCTTTAGAGAATAGATGAAGAATGAGGTTTTTGTAGTGTTGTTGAAGGATGATCCTGATGATGATGGAATGGACATAGTATATAAAGATCTTTTTTTTAGTCAGTTTCCTATACCTCGCCCTTCTTTCTTATTGTGATTTTTTTCTGATAAATTATGGTGGATCAATCTGAATCGTGATCCTCCTCCTCTTTTTTTCTCCCAGTTTTCGGTTATTCCTTTTCTGTTATGTATGGAATCCGAACTCCTTTTTTTTCTCTTCCTATTACATTCTGTTATATCAAGCTGGAAGTTTGTTGAAGAGTCCATTCTGTTAGAAATTGGTTAGAAAACAGTTCTGTTATGATTAGTTAGGAGGCTTAGAAAATTTGTTAGGAAACAGTTAGAACATTCTGTTATGTTTTCTGTTATAAGTTTGTTAAGATTGTGAAAGTTAGTTACAGTTGGCTTTGAATCAGTTAGAAGTTTGTTTGGAATGGGTTTAGGAAAAAACCAATACTTCTGTTATGAATGATTCCTGTTTGAATTTTCTGTAATGAATATATGAACTGAAGTGGCTTTATTGCTCGTATTATAAGCTGATTCTTTCTATTTTTCTGGTTTACAAAATGCAGGGCTGGGTCTGACCATTAGCATTTTATGCTAACCGTAAGATTGTAAAAGGATTTATCACGGTAGCTGTTTTAGCATAGTGCATATGGCGTCTTTGGAGCAAGATTCATCAAGCATCTCGGGACTTATTCGGCACGATTTTGACAATTATATGTAGAGCTGGTATTGTCTAACTGTCAGCTTGGTTTTGAAGCTTGGAAGAAAACATGAGATTTGGTTGAAGCACTCAAAGGCAAGGCATGAAGAAAGTTACTTGGAGCAGAATGAAGAAAGCTTATGACATTAGGATTAAGGCAAACAATTTGTGTAGTTTTTTTTCATGTGTTTGATACACTTTGAATGTAGTAATATTTGGTTTCTTTTCTTTTGGAAAATAGTGATTGAAATTGGAATAAGATTTGTAGTCTTCTTGTAATGGAAAAATAGAACTTGAGTGAAGATACAAATGCAACTTAAATGGTTATGTAACCTTGTGAATTCTTGACTTCGAATGACAAAATACCTATACTTGAAAATCTAATCCCCTTTTTTATTATTAAGGTTTTGCATAAGATCCTGTAATCATGTAGTGAGTTCAACAAGATATTCGTCAAACAATCAAAAATGATTTTGGAATATTAACTTCTCACTTGTGCATTCCACGCGTTCAAAGTAGAGACTTGAATGGGATTAGACGTAATCTTGAACGCTGTTTAAACGAAATTTATTTCCTTTTCCAAAACCTCAACACTCTAATGATCTCTCGATTATGGACTTTAACAACTCAATTTGAACTTAAAGCCTTCGAATGAACATCCTAAAAGGATTGGCTTGTACCAATTATTCATGAATCAGGTGTTAAGCAACAAAAACTTATCGGACAGTATACCTAGGATCATGATGCATCCAACCCTGATTGATTGACCAAAGAACGGATGAATTAAGTGCATTAATGCCATAATCAGTACCTTATGATTTAAGCAACAGGCATTCCTTGAATTGACGAAAGACGAGTCTCCAATAGCCGTCATCAGATAAACCACACTTGACTAAAGGATGAAAAACCCCCGCACGAGAAGACGACTTGATTTGTCCTCCCCAATGAAAAAACTTAAATATAAATATTCATCCTTGAGAAAATCATTTGATTGTATTTAGAAATACATCTCAGACGAAAACCCACTCAAGCCTGGCCATAAAAGATTAGAAACCCTAATTCATCACTTCATTTCTTGAAGAATTAAACAAAAGAATCAGAAGAAATGAGCTTTTATTGGATGCTAACACCTTAACCTCAATCAATAAAACACCACTTTTAACTGATTCTCCAAGAAATTTAAGTGAATTATTCTTGAACCGTATCAAAACCTTCTATTCCATGTTCATCTTAAATCAATCCTCATCTGCAACTCGAACGTTCATGACAAGTTGAATCTCAGGTAGCTTCAAATGGCGTGCTTGATTAACAAACCTATAGGCTCAACATTGAATCTTAACTCCCAGATGCTTTTTATCCTAAGCCTAAAGTTAACTAGAAAAGTAACTTCGAAACATGATACACAGATCTCTGATTGATGGAGCGAAACATAGACGAATCTAAACTCTATTATCTTGTATCAGAACCATGGTTTACGACTTGTAATCCAAGTAATCCATTGAGTTGACCCTTGGATGATAGTGAGCCATATGAATTGGGATATGAACCCTAGTTTCGATGATAAGCGTAAGCATAACAATGAAGCTTCTTACTCCATGATCCACAAGAACCACATAGATGATGGACATGCCTTTGAAATAAATCCAATTGAACGACTTGAACACTATTAATGGCGCCACATCTTATACCAATCACAAAAAACATGTGTTTGGGAAGAGGAGGACCTAATTCATAATTCACCACTTGAGGAACGAACCAAGGTACTCAAACTTTATTGAACTTTTATACCTCAGTTCACTGCAAAAAACCCTAGCTTGTATACCTACAAAATTTCTGAACCTCCAACACTTTATTCAATACAAATGCATGTGATGTTAGTGCAGATGACCTAATAGAAATAAGTGAATGCAAAAGTCTAAGCAAGATAAAAGAAATTAGGGGGGAAAATTTTGGGGTGCAACAAATGCCCCTGTTTAATCGTCTTAGACCTGAAGGTGAGATTGGCGCCAACCTTTCGAACCTTCAAGGTGGAAGAAGATTAAATACTCAAAAGAAACTGAAATTTTGCGCTTCGAAGCCAGTCAGGTATTATTATATTTTTTTGTTTTCTGTATTTTCTATATATATATTTTTTTCTTTCTAGGCTAAAGGGGTTATCAGGGTTAGATGTATGTTTAACCAGAGTTTGACACACAGAAGAATAACTTGGTTATCAAGAAACATCTGTTGGGATTTATTAACAAACACCTGTAAGAAAGATATCAAAAGATATATGCCTGAAGTCTGTAGCAGACATACGAAAAAAGGGGTATCAAAGGTACATATCCAGGGTCGGTAGCGGATACGCAAGAGACAAACCAAAGAAAGCTTCTTACAAGGATGTTACATACACATGTCTGGAGTTGGTAGCAGACATAAGAAAAAGGTATCAAAAATAGATATTCACGGTTGGTATCAGATACGTATAAAAGAGACATCAGAGATATCAAGAACACATGTCTGGGGTTGGTAGCAGACATATGAAACATGTATCAAAAATACATATTCGTGGTCGGTATCGGATACGCACGAAAGAGACAGGCCGAAGAAAGCTCATACAAAGATATCAAGAACACATGTCTGGGATTAGTAGCAAACATATGAAACAAGTATAAAAAATACATATCTGTGGTCGGTATCAGATACGTAAGAAAGAGACGGGCCGAAGAAAGATCTTACAAAGATATCAAGAACACATGTCTGGGATTGGTAGCAGACATATGAATCAGGTATGAAAAATACATATCCGTGGTCGGTATCGGATACGTAAGAAAGAGACAGACCGAAGAAAGCTCTTACAAAGATATCAAGAACACATGTCTTGGGTTGGTAGAAGACATATGAAACAGGTATCAAAAATATATATCCATGGTCGGCATCGGATACGTAAGAAAGAGACGGACCAAAGAAAGCTCTTACAAAGATATCAAGAACACATGTTTGAGATTGGTAGCAGACATATGAAACAGGTATCAAAAATACATATCCGTGGTCGGTAATCGGATACGTAAGAAAGAGACAGACCGAAGAAAACTCTTACAAAGATATCAAGAACACATGTCTGGGATTGGTAGCAGACATATGAAACAAGTATAAAAAATACATATCCATGGTCGGTATCAGATACGTAAGAAAGACCCAGACCGAAGAAAGCTCTTAAAAAGATATCAAGAACACATGTCTGAGATTAGTAGCAAACATATGAAACAGGTATCAAAAATACATATCTGTGGTCGGTATCGGATACGTAAGAAAGAGACGCACCGAAGAAAGCTCTTACAAAGATATCAACAACACATGTCTGGGATTGGTAGAAGACATATGAAACAGGTATTAAAAATGCATATCTGTGGTCGGTTATCGGATACGTAAGAAAGAAACAGACCGAAGAAAGCTCTTACAAAGATATCAAGAACACATGTCTGAGATTGGTAGCAGACATATGAAACAAGTATCAAAAATACATATCCGTGGTCGGTATCGGATACGTAAGAAAGAGACAGACCGAAGAAAGCTCTTACAAAGATATCAAGAACACATGTCTGGGATTGGTAGCAGACATATGAAACAAGTATCAAAAATACATATCCGTGGTCGTTATCGGATACGTAAGAAAGAGACAGACCGAAGAAAGCTCTTTTAAAGATATCAAGAACACATGTCTGGGATTGGTAGCAGACATATGAAACAAGTATCAAAAATACATATTTGTGTTCGATAGCGGATACATAATAAGGAAAGATGCCTAAGGAAAGGACTCTAACCAAGGATATCAAGAAATATACGTCTGGAGGAAATGGCGTATAACCAAAAATATTGGGAAAATATGTCAGGGGAAAGACATATATAACCAAAGGCTTGCAAGGGTAAGAGAGAGTCACGACTTACTAAGACAATGGGAAATACCAAAGACTCGACTGGTGGTAGGTCTAACAGCCTTCGCTGGGGAAATAAAAATAGAATCACCCTAGGCTTCTTGTGGAGATAGTTCAAATCTGAATGCATAACAGTCTGGTTACAGCAAGGAAACATAATTGGCTTATACTCATGCATGTTTGAAATTTTTTTTATAGCGTAATGCTCCATACAATGGAAATGCTACGCGTTTTGGTAGATGCAATGTAATGATGCATGTTTAGTAATGCATTAGGAAAACCCATCAATAATCGGCTGCTGAGAAGGAAATGAACTTCTGAATAATTATTCTTGCACATCTAATCTTCTGTAAAGAAAAGGAAATTTGTACTTCAAATGGGGAACCGAGACTTGGAACCACCAGCCTCTAAGGATCGATATCACTGGGGAAGTAACTTCCTGGGAAGAATACTGCAAACATAAATTACAATTTAGAGAAAGTCTTGAATTCTGATCAAACTCCCCACTTCACGGGGAACAAATTCTTTATCCTCTGTTGGAAAGAGGAAAGCTTTGTTAGGAATGGAAACTTCTGGCATATAAATTCTTTGACGAAGATAACTTCTGTTGGGGGAGTACAGAAATTCTTAAATAAAAAGAATTCTACTCAGACCACACTGGGGATAACGTTGCTGGAAGGTAAAAGATCTTCACTTGGGGAAGAAACAAATATCCCGGGGTAGAAACTCCACTAGGGATATCTCAACAAAATCTTCTACCACTGGTAACGAAAGTGTTATGACTGGAATTCTCCTGCACACCTCACCTGAGATATAGGACGCTTTCTCCACTAGGGAAAGAAGAATAGTTCCACTGGGGAAATTGGATCTCATTATACGAAAATCCTCATGTTAGTCACATATAGACCCTCTTTGATTCATTTGTTGGTATGCATCTTGTCATAAAAGACCAACAATACTTGCAAAACATA